GAACCAAACAATTATAAATTTATCTAATAAACCAGTAACTGATGTGTTTCTTCTACGAAAAATGTGTTCTTTCCATATCAAAAATTCCGCTCATTTTTTGTAACCGTATTTTGGTAAGTTTTGATGTTTTCAGCAAGTCCACTAACGGTTTGAGCGCGGCAAACTACGTAGTCTTAAAAGACATTTTTGCTGTGAAATAATCAACAAAGCGGTTTTTTCCTGTTGCTTGCATGTATGTGTCCAACTCTCGTATTGATTCAAGCGATGTCCAGATGTTGGTTCGGTTCACTAAAAACTCCCCAATTACTTAATTTTTGTTTTCCTTGGCGAATTTTTGAAAAATCTGTGTTGGCCAACGACGAATCGCTTCGATTTAGTGTTTGAAAAAATCATGAAAAGTTCCAGAAATTTCCTATTAAAGTGAGGTTTTTCTCATTAAAAGCCGTATGTTTTTTCTTTCGAATGATACTGGGGGTAGATTTAAGAGATTTTTTAATTTTCTTTAGCCATTTTTTTTTAACTTGTCTATCTATACCAACGGCCAATCGCTTTCCCTTAGTGGCTGAAAACATCTTGAAAACTCCCAGAAATTTCATAATCAGGTGAGTTTTTCCTTACTGAAAGCAGTCGATTTTCTCCTTCGAGTGATGTTATGAATCACATTCAGGAATTTTTACTTTTTCCTTGACGAATTTTTGAAAACTCGTGATTACCAACGGTCAGTCGACTCGCCTCAACTTTTTAACAGTTTAACAAAAATTCGTAGCTTCCAATCTACTTACACCAACAAACTTTCCGTTTGTTGGTTAACAAACAATTTATATCAACAAATTGAAATTTTCGCACCATAAAGAAAAATGTTTTACTGAAAAGCGGACCAAATGTCACTAAAATCCCAATTGCAATAGATTTTTAATTTTTTTTTTAACTTGGCGACAAATTGAAAAACTGAAAAACTGAAAGTTTAGCTAAACAAAAATTCGTAACTCCCAAACAATTTATATCAACAAATTTAAATTTTCGCACCATACAGAAAAAGGTTTTACCGAAGAGTAGTCCAAATATTACTGAAATCCATGTATTGGACCCCCAGTTTTTTAGGGGTGTTTTAATTTAGTTGAAGTTAATCAAGAAATTTTAAATCAATTTCTGAACCAAACAATTATAAATGTATCTAATAAACCAGTAACTGATGTGTTTCTTCCACGAAAAATGTGTTCTTTCCATATCAAAAATTCCGCTCATTTTTTGGAAAGATTGTCAGGCATAGATATAAACCCGAACCGTATTTTGGTAAGTTTTGATGTTTTCAGCAAGTCCACTAACGGTTTGAGCGCGGCAAACTACGTATTCTTAAAAGACAAACATTTTTGCTGCTTTTTCCTGTTGCTTGCATGTATGTGTCAAACTCTCGTATTGATTCAAGCGATGTCCAGATGTTGGTTCGGTTCACTAAAAACTCCCCAATTACCGCGTCATAACATATTTACCGGAATATCCGTCAATTAATATTTTAACCCCTAAGTAGCCCTTAATATTAACCCCGCACAACCAGGTATGTTCCCAAGGTTTTTATGTCAATTTTCCTGCTCCCACGCACTTATTATTTTTGTTGGGTTTCGATTGTTGTGTGTTAACGACTTTCATGTAGAATGATTATTACATTATATACAGGATATTCCAGAAACACGCAACCGTTTTTGAATTGAGGCATCAGTTGGACCGTAACAAGAGCAGGGCGAAGGGCGATTGGGAGTGGGAATCGCTCATTTGTCTGAAATGAGTCAATTTGGCTGGAAAATGATCCACGTTGGTATAGGAAATTGGTTTCAAGTTTTTCGAGCTCGATTCCTTCTGGTCCCGTCCACCAAATCCGACCCTTATCTTTGGTAGGACTTAGTGACTTTTTTAATGAAATGCCAATTGCTTTTGGCTTTCGCCCGATTTATCAGGTGCTAAGCACCAAAACAAAATTAGCGAATAATGGAAATTCCGATCATTCAATCTGTGCATTACAAGCCTGATTTGTGCGCTATTACCTGCTACTGGTCCTGCATAAAATTGACCGTTGAAGTGGATTCCTGGCGTGCATGCTGCCCACTTGCAGCTGATTAATAGGAAGCCATATTGGATAATGATTTATTAACAGATATAGGGGGGCTCGTATTGGATTAGCCGATTTCTCCATTATCCGGCCTTTTTTCACTCTTTCATACGGTTTCAATTCAAGCGCCTGCCTGTAATTAGTCAAATCAATTGAACCAGCTAGTAAGAACCAGGCTTTTATTTGAAAAAAAACGATATAAATAACTGCGAATTAATCTAGTAACAACTAACAACGTATGGAGTTCGTTTTGCTTTCGAAACTGTTAATTATGAGAAATCAAATTGAAACTATGCTGAGCGAATGGAAACTCCGCACAACTCGACTCTACAAACGAACTGTCGGCAAACTAGTAATTAGTTAAAGTCTTTAAAAAGGCGTACAAACTGCTCAACGAGGTTTCATAAATATTTATCAGAGTTCAGACTTGAGCTTGTAGGGAGGAACAGAAATAGTTCTCTTGTCCATCGATCGGGGCAGTTGATTGTTGCGTTTAAACGCGTATTCCTTGTGTTCTTGGAAGGCTGGCTCAATTAATTGAGCCACAGTTCCAAAGAAATGAAGCAAAAGGGTAACGGGGCAAGTTCCCATTAGCTGGCACATGGGGAAACGTAGGCAAATGACGTGTTGTTCGACCGCCCCACACACACACACAACTTTAAACGAAAATTATGATTTATCGTGCCACTATACTGTATTTATAGGCAGCGACAGGTGTAAATAGAATTTACGACCTCTAATGTGGCGACATTGTTGTGTCATGTCAGACATGTGTACGTGTTTTATATGTTTCAGTTCGTTTAGCGGCTGATACGTCCTGGGGACGTAATTTGAACGAAACATCATTACTGACGTTTTCTGCTTCTACTTGCGCCTTGCAGCCCCTAGACGTAGAAGGTTAAGGAGTGCCAAGCCTCCGCAACAAACGATCTAAGTCACCCTGAAATATTTCGAATTTTAGCAAACAAAAACAAATGTCCGGAAAATTTTCTGAGGGCATTTTTGATTATTATTATATAAGCCATATGAAGATGCGTTTTCGGGTAGAAGACAAACGTTAGCTGTAGCTGTGCATGGTTCTTTCTTTTTTAGTTTATTCAGATCTAGACCTTCATTTTTAATCGACTTTTAAGGCTTCTATTATAGCAAACTGTGGTGTTTTGTATGTAGTTCTTGGACTTTCTTTGCTACTTTCACCCGAGTGCGGAATACTCATGGTGGTTAATTGTGTTGTTGTTCATATTGTCCTTTCATTTTTCTTCAGCTTTGATCAGCTGCCGGGTAGGATTTAACTAATTTAATGCAGTTTCTGTCTATATTTTGGATTGAGATTAGGATCATTGGCATCATCTCCCCAAAACCATAGAAAACGGTATTGGAATATGGGATACGTTCATATGCTGAAAGTAGCGAACGAGTCCGAGCGAGTGTGCATATAGAAAGCGATTTTTTAGTGCTTTCAGTTGTGACTTGGGAAGTTAAAGCTCGTATTTTCCCTAAATTTTCCGGTTATTGGAGCCACCTGTAATTAGAAGAGTGGAAAAAGATGATTACATGAGACTAATCTAGCTTTTGTCACTGAAAAAAGTCTTGGAAACTCCCAGAAATGTCCTATTAAAGTGAGTTTTTCCTCACTTCAAGCAGCGTATTTTTGCGTTAGAGTAATATTATGGGCCGGTTTGAGCGATTTTTTTTTGTACCTTGCCGACTTTTAGAACAATCGGTGTTGCCCAATCGCTTCGATTAAGTAACCGAAAAAATCCTGGAAAATCTCTGAAATTTTATTAAAGTGCATTTTTACACCCTTAAATCAGAGCATTTTGTCTTTCTACCGACAAATCACCTCAACTTAGTAACTGGAAAAATCCTGAAAACTCCTATTAAAGTGAGATTTTCCTCATTTAAAGCCGCATATGGTCTCTTTCGAGTGATAGTGTGGGTAAGCTTGAGAAATTTTTTCTTTTTCCTTGACGAATGTTTGAAAAATTAGTGTTGGACCAATCGCTTCAATTTAGTAATTTGAAAAAATCCTGAAAACTCCCATCAATTTCCTATTAAAGTGAGGTTTTTACCGTTTAAAGTCGCAAATTTTCTCTTTCGAATGATATTCTGGGCAAGCTTCAGAATTTTTTTATTTTTCCTTGAAGTTTTTTTTTAATCCGTCTAAGTTCCAACGGCCAATCGTTTCCTCTCAGCACCTAAAAATGTGCTGGAAATTTTTCGTTCTTCTTTGGCGAATTTTTGAAATATTGGTGTTGCCCAGCGACCAATCCCTTCGATTTAGTATCTGAAAAAATCATGAAAACTCCCAGAAATTTCCTATTAAAGTGAGGTTTTCCTCATTTAAAGCCGTATGTTTTTCGAATGATACTAGGGGTAGATTTAAGAGATTTTTGATTTTTCCTTAGCCATCTGTCTGTCTGTTCTGTCTATCTATACCTATCTATCTATGTCTATCTATACCAACGGCCAGTCGCTTCCCCTTAGTGACTGAAAACATCCTGGAAACTCCCAGAAATTTCCTAATCAGGTGAGTTTTTCCTTACTGAAAGCAGTCGATTTCCTCTTTCGATTTATGTGATGGGCAGCATTCAGGAATTTTTGCGTTTTCCTTGACGAATTTTTGAAAACTCGTGTTTACCAACGGTCAGTCGACTTGCCTCAGTAACCGAAAAAATCATGAAAACTGCTAAAAATTTCCTACGAAAGTGAGTTTTTCAGAAAAAGTCAGCCAGGGTCAGTAAGGGTGACATAACTCATGATCCAAAATTGGCTGCGGTCGCCGATAAAACACAAACTATTTTGTCTTCAATTGCAAGATTGCGGGCAGGATCAATAGGCAAAATGGGCAAAATCAAAAACCTTATTCAATATTTTCTATACTATTTATTATGAAAATATAATACAAAACTCCCTATGTAGTGTAATCGAATAAATCGTAAATGTAATCAATATATTGTGGTCATTTAATGGACTGCCTCAGTGTATACGGAACGTAGGAAGCATAAAATGCACTAATTGTGAGCCAACATTCATTGCACCCTGTACAGAGCCGAACGCCCAATAAATTGCTGTTGTTTTGTCGCAGTTTGAAGATGAAAAGTGGAATTGAGTATTAGAGACTTTGTAGCAGAGGCGACTCTGTGCAAGATCCTCTGACTCGTTGCGCTTCCATTAAACAGCAGCAGGGTTCCATTTAAAAAGCCATTGTTTGGACTGAATTTGCGAAATTTGATTTTTCCGTTTGATTATTTACTGTTTTTTGCCCAAAATCGCGGTTTTTCGTTGTAGATCGTTGATGAAAAACTGAACTGGTCTCGGCATGCAACTAGTTACTGTTTATTGGACGTGGTGTCTAACGCTAAGTGCTACTTATTACATTACTTACATCTTAGTTCTTATTTAGCTTGTTTGCCTGCAACTATGGAATGTTTCGAGTACGTTAATAGAATGTCAAACATATTGTACCTACAGCAAAATACATATTTTTTACACTTAACTAAACCTTTGTACCAATCGAACTTATACAAGTAGTAATTGAATTTTTACACGTGACGAACGTAAGCGTTCCACATATCGTAAATAAGAACTAGAACTTTCACTCCGGCCCAGCAAGCGAATAGCTATTGTCGAATAGTGTACGGGTGGGACAAGGCACTGCCATCAGACAAAGACGAGATCGCACGTCTTTGTCTCATTCCAACACAGGCGTTGGGCGACTGGCCTTGTTGCACGCGCACAAACCTAGACAGCCACAATTCGTTTCCATATCCAGAGTGGGATAAATATATAAATATATGTATTTATATGTATTATAAAATTCATTTAGTTAACTCTATGTTCATAAAATATCTCTATGTAAATAGTACAAGTCAATATCGGGAGCCGTGGCGCAAATTGCGCCCAGTCGTGTGCAATCTGCCCCATGGTGAATTTAATTACATTACTTATCAAAGGCTATTCAGCTAAGTACCGCTAGAAGTAATACATATTAGAGTGTATTGCTCATTTGATTATAGATTTCTCTAATATACTTTTATATACTTAGGTATTGCTGTTAAGTTAGGCAATCTAGGGTAATGCAAGGGGGTGGGGCGCCGTCGAGGGAGGGCCCAGCAGTAAAATAATTGACTCAAGTGTTCGAATTTAAAACGGGGAAGTTTCGGAAAAAGCCTGAGGTTTAAGGAAAATATTATGCTTCTAGAACGAGCAACTACACTTATACCGGCAAAGTCAACAGAAGTGAATAGAGGGGCGATTTCCGCTTGTTTTCCTTCTGCCACATTCTTACATTAACAATGTTTTCCTTTTCCCGGGACGGTTTCCAACGTGAATCGCTAATATAATTGACCAATTACGCTCCCTCAACAACGCCGCATCAATTCTACTCAGTAACGTATCTATTTCAACTCTTAGACGTTATATAATTTAAAATTTGTCAATATTTATATCTAGCCTTACACTTCGTTATCTATTATATTGCTATGGTTTCAGAGGCGTGGCCTTCTTGGACCATCCTACTGTTTTATTGCTTTTGAATACCCGGCACCCGGGATTTCGAAATTTCGATTCTGACGAAAACTGTAAACGCTTCGAAAATTCACCATCAGTTTGAGCTCCACCTATGGGATTTGCCAAAACCAGATTGTTCCGTGTCTTAATTCTACGTCAAAATATTGCTTCTTTTTATTGCTAGTTGATTTAGACTGTTTTCAGGACTTTTGTGATTGTTTTGGCAAATCGCAGCTAATTCGTTGGCTATTGACGCGTAACGTGGAATTTGACACCGATTGCTTTTCAGCTATTTATTGCTAGCGGTCGTAATATTGCTTTCGCTACACTCTACACGTTTAACACCGAAAACTGCTTAGAACAACTAAAGAAGTAGAGGAAAAAGTATCGTTAATCGAAAACCTTCACAATCAAATGGGTCGACTTTTCAAAGGTCGTGTGGCTTTTTTCGAAATTCACGGTTCTCTTTAGGTCCGTAATTTCTCCTTTCCCGAAGTAACGCCAGAACATTAAATACAAACTATATAAACATGTCAAAGAAACAACTCCTAATATCTAAGTTCAATGCATATCACTCTCTACTGTACATGTGGTGTGCTGGGGCCTAATCTACCACTACTCGGACCTTGCGAACGACGAAAACCAACTTCAAATCGTAATAAACGGGGGGCAAATTCCAACTTCAATGCCCGCAACAAGTTCGAATTTCTAAAACCGTTTTATTCATACTGTTGCGATATGGATTGATTCGAAAAATCCTACCACAAAATCCAGCAACCGCGTTAAATCGTTAAAGTTATTAAAAATAAATTGAATTTTATTCCTGGCCCATCATTAATATGCTCAATAATGGAGCATTTCGCTTTATTAATGGACTACGGTAATGTTGAATGGACACTTTTGATTAATTATAATCGACTTTTTATCAGCTCTATATAATACAGAGCAGGTAAATGGGAAATTGATGTCCAAAAGCTGCGAAAAAACCTTCAAAATTCCACAAACAGAGTGAAACGTTAGGCGACCGGAATCGGTTGCAACGTGCATCCACAGGGTCGCTCTTATATGTGGAATTGGTGGATTGTTCCCTAATCTAAGAGAGCTGGAAGAAAATTGCAATGTACTTCCAGTCTATTTACGCAAAGAAAAATTTAGTATATAGGGTCAGTCAACAAGCTATGGCAAAGCAATGTTTTTTTTCTTAAATGGGACACCCTGTATGTTAGTCAGTTTTTCAATTTTTCTGGTCATTTTAATCAAAAATCGTTTAACACATTACAAGCTTAAATTTGACGGTTTTGAAGATATCGAGTTGTTGAGATTGTTTTTGCTGTGATTCGCTAAATTATTAGAACTAGTTATTTTTTAAATTTTCAACAAATTGGAATGGTGGAAGAAAAAGAGTCACAATTTAAAAACAACATAATTTTATTGATTCCCAGGATGAAAGTGAAATTTTATTTTCAAAGTGTGCGCCGTTTTCTGAGTTGCTGAAGAAAATTTTTCAAAAAACTTAGAAGGGCAATTTTGGGACTTTTCTATCTTGCAACTCTTCAATATTTTGCGGCCCATTTTCGTAAACGGCATGTTTAGTTTAACTCAACAGAAAAAAATCAACTGGGGTCAAATCGGGAGACCGAGCAGGCCATTCAATTGTCCCCTGCGACCATCAATTTCGCAGGAAATGTTTCATGGAGATCTGCTCGTACTTCGCGTTCAAAATCCCATATTCTGGCATCATTGGTATTTCAATACGCTCAGTTTCTCGTAAAAGTGCCATTTTAAAGCTCAGAAAATTCGTATAAAACGCCTTTTTGACATTCGTTTCAGATAGAGATTAACTGTTCAGACCAAAAGAATGACTTGGGTTGTCATAGTGACCTAAATTTAAGATAACTAAGGTATATATATATAGATAAGATAACTTGATGAAGCAGTGTTTTTATATTTGGTTTAATAATTTGGCAAATTACGTCAAAACAAAATTTTGACAACTCGAAATGTCCAAAGCTGTAATGTACGATTTTTGTTGAGAACGTGGAGAAGAAATAAATTATTGAATAAATCCAGGGTGTTCCATTGGAAAAAGGAACATTGCGGGGTTGTGACTTTTTGACTGACCCTGTATACGAAATTTTTCTTTATCTAAATAGGCTGAAAATAACCTCACCACTCTTGTATTGATCGAAAGCGACCCTGCACTAGATACATCCATGGCAAAAATTCAAAATTATTTTAGACTTCTTTTGTTGAATAGTGGCAAAATAACTGAAAATTGGAATTTGCCCCTTCCCCTACGGGCATGGGCTGCAATTTTCGACACTCCTATTGGTCCGGCGCAAAGTTACTGGCTACTGACTAGACTGCACACTCGCCAGATTTAGGGCACAGTGCTCGAAACCACAAATGCCGATTAATGTTTCCCGGAAAAAAATCAAGTAAGAAATCGACAGAGAAAATACAGAGAGACGCGAAACCAAACCGATGAAACAAGTGATCGATAAATGGAAAATCTAACTGACTAACGTGGACAGATAAGGAAAATTGCACTGGCCCGAACTTCAATAACCGCATTTGCTCCAGCATTCGTTGACTTCATTTACTCCTATACTCAGTTTATATTAACCCTATGTTTGTTTGCAAAAATACTGCCAAAACTATGCTTAATATTAATTTGCGGTCTTTTTGTCTGTTTTTCCAATGTTTTTCCATTAACCTACATATTTTACAATATAATTTGCTCTTCAGTCCAGCGGACGATAATTAAATATCTACAGAAAAAATATATATGTATACGGTGGGGTTGTATGTACAGTAAATGGAGCGCAATGGATACCGCGCTTCATCGATACCCAGAAATTGACTAGAAGAAAACTGACTAGGACGTTTTTATTTTTTTGGTTTTTGCATAGAACTATTCATATCGGGACTAACCTGCGACTAGAGAAAACCGTTGTTCTCCTCTTCAACCCTTAAACTCTTAAAGGAACGTTGTATATAAGACTTAACCTAATTGTTTAGCCATGCTAAAATTACCTAATAGTCGTTGTAAGTGAAACGTTGCATGTCGTTCAAAACTTCGTTGTATTTGAACGTTCAAAAGGGGTTGAAAGTAACGTCTAAAGCAAGCATAAGATTAGGTGGTGAGATATTGGGCAACCTAGGCAATGTATGTATGTACATCCCTTATTTACTGGGGATTTAAACGACCAAAGAAGATGCAGAGAATTTCACTAACGGAGATGATAAAAACTCCATTGGCCGTTTCAATCCGCGTTATTAAAGACTAAGCTAAATTTAGTGGACGTGTTTGCGATGTGTGACATGTTACTCTTTGGAAGGGACTATGTACAAGAACGTTCTTAGAGGGCCTCCAACAGCAAGCTGGGAGGAGGGTGCCTAAAATGGTAGCGCTAGGGTGGACTTAAGAATTAGAGGTGCAGACAGAGCGGTTTTATTGGGCCGCTGTGTTTGCGGGAGGACTAGGAGTGACTAGATTAAGTAGAGTTGGCAACTAGATCGAGCGCGGCACCTTGACCAAGCCACTTGCAACTGAAAAGCCCTAGTTCTAGTTGAAAAATGGGAACCGATAGAACACCTAAATACCTATGTAGTATCTAGAAAAGATAGGCATATTTGTATGGTACAATTAGGGGGTATGCTGGGCAAGGAGCTTGGTCCAAGCCGCGCTAATGGTCACCTTTAGCCTGTGTAGAGGCGCACTGGAACAGGGCTGGGCAGGTTTTCCGTTCCCTCCTTCTGGTCGTCCGGGCTGTTCAACAGTGGCGACGTCGATTCCTCTTTGAGACACGCCGACTCCAAGTGCTTGTTGAGGTACGATTTCAAAGCGAATGTTTTATGGCAGCGCGGACACTCGAAGTTCTTATCGGCCGAGTGCGTTTGCATGTGAGCTCGCAAGTTTGATCTGCAACAAGCAGGGCGTTTGGTGATTACCAGGAAAAAATTGCGAAGAACTGAATAGTGGCTCAAATTTCATCTGGATTCGACTTTTTTTTCAACTTTTTTCGAGGGCTTTGATATGCGAAATTTCACGATTCTTTAGACTTTAAGGTTTAGTAAAAACTGTCAAACACTGTTGACGTTTTTTTTACAAACTTCTTGTTGGGTATTTCGCCTCAAAAATTTTTGTCTTTAAAAAAGACAGAATTTCCTCACGTCTTCTATTACAGATTGATAAATAG